TAGCCTGTAATTTCAGATTAAATCAATAGTGTTTGATTGAAAAGAAAATGTGATCACAATAGTACTATCCTAAGTTGGAAAGCCGCTCTTGGCACTTTTTCCTATCCCTTTCATTCTCATTGTGGTGACTCAACTGGCGTGCTAGGTAAAAACGTGAGGAAGTGGTAATGTTACAGATTATGCCCTCCATGCGGGTCCTGGGGTTAATGAAACTTCTGATGAGAAATGCAATTTGCCTTTGTCTATTATCTCTACTGCCAATAGCCTGAGCTCCACTGCCTCCTCTGTGGGTTCTTCCATGGTGCCTAGTGATTGGTGGAATGGAAAAAGAGGAAGACTCTTTTAAAAAGATGATGAGTTTTTAATCTTTTTAACATTTACATGTCCTACTCAAGATTGACAAGGTCTCCGTCAATCTGGAATTGTCTCTGACCCAAACAGCTTCCCTCAAGGACCCCAGACAGTGTTTATCATATCAGAACCTGTTCTATGGCTCACCCTGTGGGCTTGCTAGCAATCTGAAGCCTTTCTTTATTAAACTGGAGAGGACATAAAGAAGAGCCTGATTGACTTTATATTTTTGACTAATGTCAAACCACAGAGGTCATGAAGGACACAGCTTACATGAAAGATGGTGTTCTGGTGAGACCACAGGCGTAACTTCCTGATGGACTGGTGTGGACATGTCCCCACCAATAATTTCCGTTTTGTTTTTCTCCTTTCTTTACTTTAGCCAAAAATGTAACAGATGTTGGGTGCAGCTATCTGTGTTCAGAGCGTCTTCAGTCCATGTTTTTTTTTCCTCTCTCGCGCTGCTCCCGTGTCCCGCCTATCGGTGTAACATCATCGGATCTGTCGCTTTGACACATCTGATTTGCGGATGCATTTCACTGCATACAGAGTAGCTACGTGGTTGGAGGAGAGACAGACAGCAGCACTCAGTGAATTTAACCAGTTTAAGTAAAAGTAAGGAAATGGTTGGTTAAAAAAAAATTGAGTTGCCACTAAAAAAAGCTGTCCATTAGACATACAGAACTTTTTCAGCAAAAACGGCAACAGATGGTAAGTTTATACAAGTTAGTAATATAATGCAAGAAGCTTGAGAAAACATAGCAGAGCATGACTCCCAGTTACAGGTTAAAATTAAAACATGTTTTCTTATTGTACAGAATCAGACCGAAGAGCTTCTACATATCCTAAAATTTTGTTTCTGGCATTGTTATATTAGTAAAGAGGTTCATAAATCTTTTTAAACAGAGCACAGAGAGAAATAGGGAGAGCTGCAAATTTAAAGGTGAAACAGATTTACTGGGATATGCAACATGCAATAAAATATATCTCCAAGTTTATTAAGAAAAATGCTATTTTAAAAATGCAGCATATCCACAGTTTTCTGGAAAGAAGGAATTTAAATTGTACCTTCTAGAGATGCATGATATATTGATTTTGGCATAAGAATCGGCTGTTATTTGTTTTTTTTTTTTATTAAATTAATGTTTTTGGGCTCTATATTGTAATGCATTAAAAGGCCTCTCTCAAACTATCTATAAATATTAGTATAAGTGTTATGGTTCTCTTGTGTTCTCAACAAGAGGAAAGCATTCAATAAATATATGTTTGAGCTCATTTTTGGAAAATACAAAAACCTAATGAAAGCATTCGGGTCGTTTAACTGTAGGTCCATCAGCCACCACCCAAGTGTCCCCACCAACTTTCATTACAGAGTTACACATGGAAACATGAAAACTCTTTAATGGCAGAAGCAACATGCTGTGGCACTTTTCTTCAGCAGGGACAAAAGAACAGATCAGAATACTTTTGACTGAAGCTCAGGGTTACCTTTCTCGCGGGACAGTGATCCTAAACAAATAATAACATAAGCTAATATAACTATGAAACTGCAAGAACAAAAAAAAAGTCAGTAGAAAGTGCTGTGCTTCATAAAAGCCAATAAAAGCCAATAAAAAAACAAAAAGCGGTTCCCTTTGAAAACATTACGTGGTTAAAAAGTGTAAGGTTACATTTCTTCTATCACATTACATCCATAGATTTTACTTTATATTATGTTAATGGATGAAATGGTAATTATATTGTCGAACATACCTTAATGTAATTATTAACAGCCTTTAACAGGAATGACTACTTTCACATTTTCATTGCTGAACATCCAATAGTGGATTATTCAATTTTAAACTGCAGCTTATTCCATTATAATTTTATATTAACCTAATGTGATATTATTAACTCTGATCATATAGCAGCTCCTTAGGCACAATCTCAGACTCTTGTGCAGTGAGATCTGTTACTTGGAGTTTAGGTCAAAGATGGTGGGTTCTATTTTTGCCTGATTTAAACACTAAGGTGTCTGACTGCCTCATCTCTTGTTTATTTTTTTTGTTCTTGTTTTTGTTTTTTGTTTTTTTGCAGTAAAAAAAAAAAAAAAAACTTCAAGTAGAAATAAACATTTAGGATTTTAGATAATGTAAATGTTCAGCCTTTTCTGTTTCTAGCATGATCTAAAACTATAATTTTTATCTTTTATCATCATAATTTTTAAATAATGACATTCTGATGTTTCATCCTAAAAGAAGAGAAATTACTCAGTAGGTCACTCTCTTAGTAACCAGATGAAGGTTTTAACCAATGTTTCCCCCTAGGAATATCCTAAACTGGTTTCTCAGCCTGCATCCAAGCTGATATAAACCCTTGGGTTCTGTTTCAGCTTTATGTAACCCACTGGTAATAATGCCTGGGTCAGTTCTTCTCATGCCTGTTGCTGTTGACTATTGTTGTCCATTTGAATAATATCACTTTATCAGGCCATTTCCAACATTTCACACTACAAATAACTAAAATAAGTTTGAATGAATCATGCTGATACGGTATTAGTTCAGATTCCGTGTTAATTATTCAAAGCTGAAATATCGGTATCATATCAGAAATGAAATAGTTTCCCTAACACAGATATTAAAGTTGCCACTTATTTCCATGTATGGAAAGCTTATACGTTATCAAAGTCCCCATAAGTAATAAACACATGTAGTCAGTCAGACACAAGATGTGGATAAACTTTAAGCCCCCAGGCATTTTCATTTTAAAATATGTGTTTAAATAAATATTTTTTTGCATTCTGGTTGTTGATTTAAACATATTCTTTTGCATATCTCTCCTCTTATTGTGTGCTCTTTACTTTAATCTTATTTTAGGAATAATGAGGTTTTAGCTGGCTGCGGTTGCCACATGTTACCAGGTAACAATAACGGACTCTGACAATAGGGATTATCCCATCTAACTAATGCAGTGGAAGACTAATCTTGACAGGCTCAGACACTTCCCCCTTCATCACCGCAGCGTTGCAGCACACCGTTCGCCACTTCTGCCTTCAGAACACGTTTTACCCTGGTCGCCGGCCGGCATCTTTACTTTCATGCTTAATTACCTGCCAAGATGGACTGGTGAGGACATGGAGTCATATACGTCTGTCGTCAATGACACCATCAAGTGTTGACAGGGTGGTATTGAACTGTTGTTTTTTTTTTAAAGGTGGAAGGTATCAGTGTACCGCTTTGCATCTGTTACTATTTTTAGGGTTTGGTTTTTGTTATTTTCAATGTTGGAAGAATAATCTCTATAAAGAAGGATTCACAATTATAAGGACTTGTTATAGAGGTGCTTAGAATACAAAGAGTAGAAAATGTTAAAAAGAAAATGACATGTTTTAGAAGTTATAACAGTATAGGTAGATAATAGATTCAGACATTAATAATGTTTTACTTAATACAACAGATTTTCCTTAAAGGAAGTTATGTACGACTGTTGAGTGCAGATATCCGTGTCAGGGTCTGTAACGTGTTTATGATTAATCTGCTTTACTGACCTCTGCAACAGGAAACCCAGGAAAATGAGAATCTTCTATGCATCTCATGCTTGGGTCACTTTCTGTTTACCATCTTCTGATTCTATTGATGTATTTAGATTTGTTTCTCCAAAGATGATTTATCTGTCTCTTGGTGCAGGAAACACAATAGCTTTACACTGCGGTGTAGGCCTTTATAAACGCTCTGGATCCTGTTGTAGGTCGGCTGCCCTCCTTTAAATCATAAACCTTTTGCATGAGCCAGCTGAGTTGAGATTCTGTATCGATTTGAGGCGGCTGCCAAGATCCTGTTCCTGCAAAAGTATGAAACATCAGCCTCACTGCTGTGCTTTGATGGATGATGAGTTGTTTTGTGCTGATATGATGCGTTAGTTTTTTGCCAAAGTAACTTACAGTATTATGGACATAAATCTTATTCTTTTTTTTTCTTTTTTTTCCTTTAGTCTCTTTTATGCACCAGCATTGTATTTAAGTTTTTTTTTCTACTTTACATAAGATTTATATTTATTTCATTTCTTAAAGATATTTTGTGGTTTAACTGGACCAACTTTGTGTTTCTCTCTGATTTCTTTAATCATTTGAGTTATTTTTGTCATGTTTTTTCATTGTTTTATTTTTTAATTTTTGCACAATGCAGCCTATAGAATCAAACTGGGATCACTTATCTGGTTTTTAATTGAGATTTACAATCAATCTGGAAAATCAATGCAAATAGCCCCTGTCTTTAGTCTGTTAGTGTTTACATGGGGTTTAAAATAAGGATGTTCTTTTTGTTTGTAAATGGACGTTAGACCTTCCGGGTGTGATGATCGCTGCAAAGCTAAATTTATTCAATCAAATAAGTTGTGGCATTCTATCTTTATTTTTATGTTTCGTGACATGGCATTAGATTTGTTAAGCAAACAGATTTGTTAGCTGTTTTCAGGAAGTATTTAACCAATTTTAACTGCTTGGGATTTTATTTAATTTGTTTTCATTTATGCAAGTTTTTCTAGCTTTTGAAGCCTGCTTTTATTTTCTAATAATCACTTTCTAACAAAAAAAGGCTGTTTGTGTGTATACATTAAGCCTTTCTTTGATGCCTCACTTTCTCGCTCTTGCTTTTATTTCTTTGTGTCTCTAGTGAATGAAGAAGCCCTGAGGAAGAAGATCACTGATGAGCTGTATAAAGACTTGGAGCAGAAGAGGGCTAAAGCAGAGCAGGAGATGCAAGCATGGTTAGACCCCTGCACACAACACGCACATTAACACATCTTCCTTTCAGATTACAGCTTTTGATTTATTTCTAGATGGAATTTTCTGCATAAAATACTGAACTGCATGTTCTCTGATGATAAACGTGCATCCCTGATAGTCTGTTGATTTAATGTTCCATAAATATCTAGTATTATTAGTGAAAATAAATTGCAAAGCTCACCGTGTTTTGCTACATTAATTCCAGTTATTTCTATTTGTGTGTTTATCCCAAAATGTGTTCTTGTTCTTTTTAAACTTGGACATTTTCCAGTTTCATTAATATTCCAAAAGGTCAGCACCAGTCTTTCTGATCCCCACTGTTTCCAATTTACCTTTCTTCCGAAGTACATCAGCACTTTTCCCTCTTTCCCTATCTTCTGTCCTTTTTTACTCTTGTTCCTTTGCAATCAATTAATCATGTCTTAGTAAGGGGAGCACATTGCTGAGATAATTTCCTGGGTGTACAGGGGGTGATCTATTAGCACTACCTGATAAAGAGACATACTCTTCATGCCTATTGTTTTATTTATGAATAATCCTCTGCCCATTGCTTATCTGTTTTGTTTTGTCCTTAAAATAACAAGTGTGCATTATAGTGTTGCTTTCTCATTTAATACATCTATAGGATTAATGGAGACTTTATTCATAGAGGGGAAGGTAGTAAGGTTGTTTTAATGTCTTTTATAATATAAGAATTTCAAGTAAAGTTGTTCCAGTTGTTTTTTTTGATTTGCTATTTCATCCATGTTTTGTTTTATTTAAACATCTCCTTTCTGCTGCAACTAAGTCAGTCTCTGACATAATTGCAAATCAAAGTATAGTTTCAACCATCAGTTTTTTGTGTATGTCTGTTTTCTTATTAAGAAAAACTGGAAAAAAGATATAATTATTAGTTGAACTTTCTTTATTCAAAATTTCAAAAAACATATGTTTAAGAATAACTGCATTTATATCCAGAAATGGCAACCAGATCAGTTTATGCAGTTTGATTTGCATCTGACAACATATTGATCTAGTTTATATATATATATATATATATATATATATNTATATATCCCGTTTAGATTGTTGTGATTACGGTATGTATTTTTTGGAGTATAAAAAAGACAGGACACTTTATTAATCTTAATTCATCCAAAAATTAAAGATTTTATATCATGCTTATTTAACCTTTCAAAGTCATCTATAGGCATATGTATGATAAAGTATTTCCTTTAGAACTATTTAGAATTAATTTGCTATAAAACCTTATTTATTTGGTGCTACTTTTCCAATGTACAACCCTTAGGATCCACTGGATGTGGAAGCGGCATTTAAGCTCTGCGGTGCGGCTCTGCAGGGCCTTTGCAGAGGATTGCAGTAAGTCTTATCAACCATTGCGGTTCCACCAGGTGTGCTACGATGCGTTTCTGAAGCGCCTATGAAATAAGCTGCTGTTGAATTTTCGCTGCTTCAGAACGGAAGTCAGTTGATGAAAAGCACGGTGGATCCGGTTGAATTTACAAGTAAAAGGCTTCATATTCAGAGTGTGGTTCTCATTTTCTAGACTTTAATGTAATCAAAAATTATGTTTACACAATCAATTGACAGCCATAAGAAATATGAGCATTGAATTAAAAAACACATACAAAACATCAATATTTTAACTCGATTACCGATGATAGATCCAAAGAAAAAAGAGGTGAGGTGATAAGATTGGAGCAGGCACATGAGACACTGTAGCACTGGCAAAATCAACAATTTACTGATTTGTTGTTCTATTTAAAACCTACAAGTACACTACTGTAATGAGATAATGCAATCCTAACAGTTTCAGAGTGATCCTTTGCAGAGTCACTTTGCTCTGAAAACACTTACAGTGGAATACGGTAAAACTAAACGCAGCACAGCTGCACCAAAATGGAAGGCATAAGAGAGACACTTGCTTTCTCTGTGACGCCGCCTCTCCTTCTGCGTACACCACCGTTTCATCATGATTAGACTCTTTTTTTTTAGGAAGGCTGAGCAACGTCTGGCATCTTTAACTTATTATTGTTAGTTTAAAGAATAACTGTTGCTGTCACAGTGCAGATTGGGTGTTAAAAGAGCCACTTGGTCTCAGCTTTGAACAGAAATGATGACATCATCACTCGCTGATCACAGAAAGTAATATTTTGTTTACTACACAGGTTTAAAACGGTTCAACATGGAAGTTATGGCCAATTGTTTTCCAGGACAGAGAGAGAGTGAAGTGATTCATGAGCAGAGCTCAAACATGCATGAATCAAGCAAAACACCACTTTAGGCATGATTCTGATAAAGAAAAAGAATTTCTAAATATTAAAAAGCTTAAAAAGTAGATTTTTTTTTTTTGAAAAAGCTTTCTAAAATGAAGAAATAATCTAAAAATGTCCATTTATTTTATTAATGGCTAAAAAAGCATGTAGTTTGGTATTAAATAGTCATAAGAACTGACTAAAGAGTGAAATGTTTCTCGGACCCCATGTGCAAAATGAGTAAAAAAATCCTCAATTTGCACAAAGAAATATCCTTTATCCTTAATTTCTCATCACCAGACCATTGGAGCTAATAGTAAGATGCAACAGAGAGACAAATAGGACTCCTCTTGTAGGGATGATACATGCTTGTTGCTCAAAACCCCAAATAAATTGCTGTTCTATTTTCATTAGTTATTTAACTTTATTCTTGGGGATTAAATGGTTTCTTTTCATACAAATTGAGGTAGTAAAACTTGGAATCTTTTTCCTCATTGGTGCTCTGAGCCTATAATTTAACTGCAGTATAATGGCCCCTGTAGGGATAGCAGGGAAGACACTGTGATGAGATATTTTTTCAGCTAGATTGGAGTAAGGGGTAAAACGCTTTCCTTCTGTGAGTTATAGTGTAATACAGCTCATTTAACAGAACCACTAGGTGCCAGAGCAGTGACACTGTGAGGCTGTTGCATATTGTAAGCACAGAAAAATGAGACATTACATGGAAAGCCAAGTGGAAATACAGTGGCTTAAAAATGTTTCGTATTCCTTACACTTTTCTAGTTTAGTTCCAGAAGAAATTTCTGTTTATTCTATTGGAATTTTATGAGCTAAACACAACATAGTTCATAATTATAAGGTGGAAACGCAAATGTTCATGGTTCATAGAAATATTTCCCTGGAAAAAAAGGTGTGCACATATTCTGAGCTTTCACAGCTATTTTAGAAGCAGGTCTTTCTGACAGAATAAGATTTTTCCCATTGTTATTTGCAAAATAGATAAGGCTCAATCAAACTGGAAGGAGTTTATGTGATGAGAAATGTTCAAAATTGTAGAAAAGTTTGATTCATGCCTGGACTTTTACTGAAACTTTCTCACACTTAATAAGCTTGGAGCCCCACTATTCTAGCCCATTAATTGTTTAGGTTTGGTGCACTACTGGAAGCTAAACATATCCCCAAGTATTTTGCAGCCTGTGTAGTTTTTATTTGGTGTTGTGCTTTATTCTAGTTAAATTAATAATTTTTTTCTAGTCTGAGCAGTTTCCCTGTCCAGCCAGTACCATGTTGTACTGTGGGAGTTGTGAGTTTAGGATAACATGCAGTGTTCGTTTCTAACCAACTACATCTTCTTTGATGCAGGTTAGAAGGTTCATTGTTAGTAAGATCTGACCAGGCCGCCTTACACGTCTTTGCTTCGTTTTCTACTTGGCTTAGGACAGCAGCAGCTTTTTGCCACCTGACCATAACGACAGGCGATTCCTAAACACTATAGCTGTCATGGAACAGATGTAAGCAGCTCCTTTCAAATCGTATAACTTTATATGGGTTCACATTAGGGCTGAAGCAATTAATCAGATTAATTGTGATTATGAAATTATTGAAAAGAAAATCATTAACCTGTTTAGTACTCGATTAATCGTTGACTGGAGTTTAGAGACTCTGTGACGTGCCTTTAGCTGACAGAGCAACCCACTTAGAGCAGCAATTAAAGCTTTAGTTTCACTTGGTTTAATTTAGCAAAAAGCTTCTTTAAAGAACCTTTTGTAATCTCATTACTAATCGATTAATCGAAAAACGAATCGACAGATTAAACTATTGTAAAAATAATTGTTAGTTGCAGCCTATTTCACATCTTTATGCGGTTTATGTTGTGTTGTCTGTTCTTTGAAGGTGGCCTGTAAACCACTCTAAGCTTTTCAACTTAGCTGTTTAGATTGTTGTTGTATGACCAAACTTTACTTTAAAATTCCAAATTCTTTATCCTTGACCTGAATAAATGTGATCATCATGATGCTGATTCATCAATTAGGGTCTCCAAAAAGCCCATTAATCCCCTATCAAGCCTTGACGATTTAGACCAGCGCATGCCTGACGTACGAAAAATCTGGCAAAAAATGCTGGCATACGTTGGATAAGTTATGGGAACGTTTTGTATAAGTTATAATCACGCTGTACCACGCTGGCACACGTCGACATACGGCGAGTACGTCGAGGAATTTTATGCATGCTCAATATTTGTCGACAAGAGAATATATATATATATATATATATATATATATATATATATATATATATATATATATATATATAATATGCCAGCGTTTGCTCATATTTGGGGCATAAGTTACAGGTAAGTTATCTGATCGTTGACATATGTTAAGTGTAAGTTACTCAAGTTCTTTCTAGCTTATCCAAAACCTATGAATAACTTGTGCATAACATATGCGTAACTTTTCAAGAACTTATCACCAATGCATATCAACGTATTTGACGTTTTCCAGACGACCACTGAACGTGTTTCCAATGTACAGCTGCTTTTTAATGGCGTATTGGCAGCGTTTTGGTATGAAAATGGGATCACAGGAGGAAACTGGCAGTTCTCCTCCAGACTTTATCCCCATCTTAGGGTGAGCATGAAGGTGAGTGGGATTGAACCTCCCTGCGTTCATACCCACGACCAACAAACTTCCTAGCAGACATGACGCTGAATCTGCTGCGACTGC